ACATTCGTTTGCAGCAGACGAGAACAGCCGAAAGCAACCATTGGGATTCTCTTGTGCCTGGCTGTAGTTACCCCTGTTTTTTCCCTGGTGTTTAAATCACAGCCCGCTCCAGTGTGCGGCGGGGTTGGCTGTGCACGTCTCAGAGAATGGGTTTTGCTCTTGCTGCAGAATTTTGCCTTTGCTGCGCGCTTTGTGTAGCACTGAACCCATTTGCCTGCGACTCCATTTATACCAGCTATTCCGGCTCTTCTTCTGCAGTTTATGGCACACCATCCTCTGCTTCGGCGAACGGTTTGCCTCTTGGATGGGAAGCTGGAGGAGTCTGAAGGATCCCTTAGGTCAGGTTTTGTAACAAGCTCGCTTAGCGAGCAGGTTCCTGGAGGGCTGTCGGATTCAAAAGCGGAGAGAAGGCATTCACCTGCAGGTATAGGGAGCCAGTCTTACAAAAACAAGCTCCTTAAGCGGGAAAAGGGGGGATACAAATTGTGTTTCCATACATTTCCATGCAGGCAGGGGGAATAATGGCAGAGGAGCGGCAGGGAAGGGGCTTTGTCATGGTTACAGGCCCGTGGCTGAGAATGTGGGTGGAGCGGTGCTCGTCCAGAGTTAGTGACCTCAGCAAATTGGAGCTCAGCCATGGTCAGTATGATAAATGATCTTATTCTGGGTTAAAGAAATGGTACCCCACAGGGAGGTATCCGCAAGGCGGCCCGGGAAAGCGCTGTGCTCTTGCAGCACTGACCCCTTAGTGACCAGTGCTGCATATATCTTATTTATTACGGACCAGAAGGGGATTTTTCATGCTTTGGCCTTTATAGGGTTGCCCCATTTCTCCAAAATAGGCTCCCAGCTCTGCAGCCAAGGCATGAACACAGGTGTGATTACCCCCTCTGGGTGCCCTTGGGGGGGCTGCCTGCTTCGTGCGGGTTTGTACGGGGATTTTAGGGCAGGGACATGGCAGTGTCTGGTCCTTGCGCACGTGTGGATCTGTCCGTGCGTCTCCCCGGGAGCCAAGAGCTCCGTGTCCGTGCCCACTGGCATTACCGTTGTGCAAAATCCTTCTGCGATTCCGCCCGTTGATCACTTGGGTGCCAGATCCTTCCATCACAACGCCCAGCGTGGTGTTTCTTGTTGGAAGCACCGGGTTTCGCTCTGCACACAGCGAGTTCCCTCGCTGCTGAGTTATCACTGATGAATCTGTCAGGCCGCGGAGGTTTTATTGAGCTGGGGAAGATGGATGGATTCCAGCCTCGGTTTTGAGGGTGCAAATGAACCCGGGCTCTTGTTCCAGGCAGTGCTAAAATGGAGTCGTGGATGCATTTCTCTTGCAGAGGAAGCTCAGCAGATTCTTCATCGAGGAACAGTTGGGGTAATGCAGAAGCTCGGGCCTCGGAGGATAGGCAAGAGGAGCGAGCAGGCTGTGCGGTGCTGCGTGCCACAACCACCGGGACTGTTTATGATGCAGCTGGACTGAAAATGAGCCGAGGCTGATGGGGTTTTGTATGCACGCTCGCTGCAGTTCTTGCATCCTGTCCGCTTGCGTGACAAGCCAATGACTTTGTGTCACTGCAAGCACACGCTTGGTTCTCCCGAGCTGTGTGTTTCGCCGGGCGAGTTGTTTTATGCATGTATTGTGGATTTGAGCTCCCATCTGTGCACTTGAACTGAGCAGTTTTCTCAAACGTTTGTCGGTTTTTCTTTTTTTTTAATTAACTTTAGATTATTTTTCCTGAGAATTTGGAGGGGTTTGATGTACTGTTAGCACAGGCAACAAAAGCTGTCTCTGTATACAAATGAGACAGGGATTTCCTACCATGTGCTTCGGTCCCTCCTTTGCAGTTTGAGAATATTTCAGCTTCCCGTGGCCTGTTGGCTCTGGCTTCTCTGCTGATGCTGCCAGTGGCGAGGACAGTTACCAGTAATTAGGGTGGATTTTTTGGTGTGGGTATTGGCTGTGGTTGGAGCAGGCTACCGGAAGGGTTTCACTGAGACCGTGCAGTGATGATACAAATACGCCATTCCTGGGATGAGCTGGGCTTGAGTGGGAGCGAAATGTTGCGTCGTCTCGGCTCTCACCTGATCCTCCCCAAAACGCACGGTCGTTCTTGCAGCCAGACGGCAGCACGCGCCGTACAACCGTGCTCCTGCAAACAGCAGGCACCTCTGCTCTGTGACGGGGGCCAGCTTGAGAGCCAACAGGAGTGTAAAACCGCTGCGTCGGAGGGGCGGTTTAACTTGGGAGGTTAAGGTTGGGAGGCTGTTCCCTCCTTGTCTGGCCTTTGTAGGGGAGCTGCTGTTTGCCTGGCAGATCCTCAGCCCGGGGCAGCTGGAAACCTGTTAGACCCGTAGCATAGTGTCAGAACGAAAACGTCTTGGGCACGCCACGTGCGTCAACTGTGAGAGATAAGTGGGTGTGCTATAATTTACCTCTTCTTATTTCCGTCGTGATAACGTGCGGAGTCCCGAGCTGTTGATCACGACGGCTGCTCGAGGCGCTGAGCTGCAAGGTGGCTTCTCCCCAGGCCACTTGCGACGGGAAGGAATCTTGTTCCTTTTCAATACCTTACTGGAGGGAGACAGTTTTGGTGTGACTCTGGTCATTTTTCATCCTTCATAATTGATTTGTTCTAGTAATATCGGTGTGCAGAATGTAGGGACATGAAGGTAGGGGAAAAAATTCAGTGCTGAGAAAGCAGCTCAAAGTATTATGTCTTAGGGTTGGCGGAGGAGAAGGGGCTCTTAATTTTCCTTGCCGTTTGGAGCCAGGAAGCTCCGGGTATCTGGGTTTTTTTCCTACTGTCTAAATTCTTCAGTACGTGTGTATGTGACTTCTGGGGAGGAATAAATGAACGTAGGCTCAGGTGGGGCTGAAAATAACATTTATTATGGAAGGAGTAAGGGTGAGGGAGGCTTCCAGCCCAGCCTGGAATAAATCAGTCCTCTCGCCCCTCCATCCAGACTGCTCCTAGGTGGCTGTCTTCTATCCAGCTGGTGCAGCGTGTTTCGCTTTAAATGATCTGTCCTGAAAGGTCCCAGAGGAAAGGGCTGCTTATTCCACGCGAGGAGAATGGTATATGGCACAGCTCATTGTTGTGTGCCCTGCCGCAAGGGCATAAATATGAAACAGCTCACGGGCGTTGCTGCGGTGGGGCTGGTGTCCCCTTTGTGCCCCCCCCCGATCCTCCTGAAGGCTCCTCTCCATCTTTCTTCCTCTCCCGTGATGGAGAGCAGGAGCCGTTGGGGTGTGAGATCCCGAGGGCTTTACGCTGCAGCAGCGTTTTTCCAGGGAAGGCCAAGGTAGCGAACTCCTGCTCTGGCAACTGACCCACCGGCATGGCCCACGCACCCCTTCCGAGCGCCGCTCGCCATCCCCGGTGCATGTCGCCAGGGAGGCAGCGAGAAGTGGGCTGGTTTTGTTCTCTGAACTGTGGGTCGTGGGAGGGAGGCGTGGGCCGGCCCCAGGCAGGCGATCCGGCTCACCGGGCGGTTTTACGGCACAAGGCAGCTCCTTCTGCCCCCACCAGAGCGATCCACTCCTTGGAGGCAGCAATCCCTGCCGTGCTCCAGGCAACCCTGGAGCGGGACCAGTGTGCCGGGGGGCACGTATCCAGAGGCACCGATGCCCTGGGAAACCTGGGGGGGGGACAGGGGGAATCTCAGAGCATCCCCCTCCCCCTTTCCCTGAGAAGAGGTCCCCATCTGCTGCAGATGGACAGATCCCTATTGCCTCGTTGCTGTGCACTTGCCTGTGCCAGGGCTGTTATCCTTGGTGCGACGGAAGCGCTGGGGGTAACGTTACTCAGAAGGACCCCAGCTCTGCTCTGGATAACATCCACAATCCCATCAAATCCTGGGGTGAGGCAGGGACTGAGCCAGGCCGCTTCAAGCGCATTTATTTTTGCTGGTCGCGAAGCAAACGCACGGGGAATCGGATTTCAGCTCCGAGGGGCGCGCGAGGAAGGGTTCCCCGCGGGTACGGCGAGGATAACCGGCGGGGAAAACCCATCCCCACGCGTCCTGCCAGCAGGGCCTCAGCCCTCCCTCGTGGGTCTGCGCCTTCAAAAAGCTTCCTCGCGCCTCGAAAACAAACAAAACTCTTTCGGGGCTTTCAGAAGGCTGTTTAAAGGAGCCCCAGGAGGATAACGGATTGTGGATGCAGAATGAAGAAGTGGTTTGTGGCACGGTGAAATGTAGAAGCAAACGCAGGAGAACCCCACGTTGCAATTTGTCAGCTTCTCTAAACCCTGTAACGGATTATTCCCGCCCCCCCTTGTCCCTTCTCACCTCTCCAATAGGAAATTAACTGATGCTATCACTAAAGAAATTGTTTTTGCCTCACAAAGTAAAATTGATACTATAAAAACCCACCAGCAGTGTCTCCTCCTCCTTTTACATGAAGACAAATCCTTCCTGTCACCTACTGAAATGGCAAGATAAAGGCTTGAGCTTTAATAAAGAGGCTGGAAGCACCGAGTGCGGCGGGAGGGAGCTGGCACGGCCCGGCAAACGTGACGCCGAGGGGTATTTGCGAAGCGTCCGAAACGCGGCTGCGGCGCCCCGGGGCCTTTGCCTGCGCGCTCGGTGGCTGCGGACGCGCTTGCGCCCCGGAACTCCCATCTCGGAGCGTTTGCGCTGCTCTCGGCGCCTTCAGTCCCTTAAGCTTGCTCCTTTGGGCTTTTTAAATCTGGTTAAGCACCCGCGGAGTTAAACATCAATTTGTTAGGTGATACACGGGGTGTGGGGTGGGATAATGTCAGCATGTGTTTTCTGCGGGACACCTCTGGGGTTCGGGGCGGAAGCCCCGAGCTTTGCGCTCCCGTGGGGCAGGGCTGCAGGTTAGGTGCTGCTACGGGGCAGCGTCCCCTGCGGGGTCTCCCTGCCCGGAGTTTTGCAGCTATTCCCGTCCATCCCGCGCCTTCCCCGACTCCTCTCTCGTGGGTAAACCACCACTTTGTTCTGGCGTCAGCTAGTTTGTGAACCGCTGTCCTTTCCTCTTTCAGGGGATATCAGGAACCTGCTGAAGTGGATCAAGCAGAATCTGTTGAAAGAACGGCCCGAATTATTTATGCAAGGGGAATCTGTGTAAGTACGGCTGTTGGGAATCCTCCTGCGTCTCCCTCTCCGTCCCCACGCTTTGGGGTACGTTTTTCCTGTTGGTGGCAAAAATCAAGTTAATGACCGTGAAAATAAGGGATTTGCTGAAACGATAGCGGGGAGGTGTCCCACGCTGCACCTCGCGCTGCCCCATGGAGCGTGCATTCTGCAGCCCTCGCCCCAAACCTTTAAACCTTAAACGTGAAGCAGAGCCACGTGTACTTTCTCCCCCTCGTCACCCAGAGCAGCACATAGCTCACGTATCCTCAATTCCAGGGGTTTTAAGAGGTCTGTCCGTTCCCTGCCGAAATCCCTGGGACCGAAGCAGTCGCTCGGAGAAACGCCAACAAATATTTCTTCTGGGAAATGTATTTTTATTGTCAAAATGGGGCCAACTTCGGGGTGGGGGGGCTGGAAAAAGAAGCAGCCGAGAGAAATGGAGCAGAGTGAGCTGTGGAAGCCATCCCTGCCTGCGGGGTGGCGCTGGGGGTGTTTAACATTCGTCACGGATCTTTGTGAGCTGAAGCGTGTGCCAGGTCCCCTGGTAACAGGAGAGACAATTGCAGGACACTGAAGATCAAAGAGGGGGAATCCCTTTGCCTGTAATCAGGGGCTCGGAGTGGATCCCGGGCGTTTGCTGCCTTTGGTAGGGGCAGCGGAATAGCGTTCCCTACCTCCCCATCGAGCTCTCCGCGCTCGACTGTCGTGCGTGGGTTTGAATTACCTGGCTTTTCTGCATCCTAGGGAAGTGTAGTCATCTCGGAGCATCCTCGGGAATGGTGCCTTTGGATTCAAACAAGCGCTGGGATTGCTCCTGCCTCCCCTTTATTTGATCTGGGAAGGGCACAGGCTGTACCTGTTCCCACCTCCACGCTAGGATTCCTTTTTCTCTTTGGCTTTCCAGGCAGTCGCCTCGTGTTCCGCACTATAACATCCCTCCTTCTGAACTGTTTGTGAGGCTCTTAGCAGCTCTCTATCCTAATTATTTCTCTGTTCTGCAGGAGGCCAGGAATTTTGGTGCTCATCAACGACGCAGACTGGGAACTAATGGTCTGTACTCCTTCAGTTCGACTTTTCTCTGCGGAAAACCTTGCTCTGGCTGTTCTGTGGTTGCTCTCAGAGACGCTGCTTCGGATTCTTGCCCCAAGCCAAGCGTCTCGAGTTTGGGGGGGAAGGGGCAGGCTGGGATCTCTCTCCCTGGGTTGCACAGTGGCTGTTGAGAAGCCCGGAGCCTTTCTCTAACCTGCTGACTCTCATCAGCCAGCCGGTGTCGGAAGGGAGAGCGCACGTATTCCTTGCCCTCTGGCTGCTGGCAGGCCTCCCCCACGCGTGGGGCACGGTGCAGTGGGTGCCACGCAGCCCCACAGCCCCTCGCAGACCCCCTGCGCTGGGTAAGGGGGTGCTGCACAGCCCTGGGCGGCTTTTTACCCAAACAGGCAGCGCAGAAACATCTTCCCTTCTCAGCCCCTGACACCGAACAGCCCCTCGCTGCTTTCCTGCCTGGGGCAGCTACCTGTCCTGTCAAAACCCTGCTCCGGGAAGTGCGGGATAACGCAGCTCCGTCTCTGATCTCTCACCTTTGCTTCTGTTAGGATGGAAACATCCCCTTTCGCTCTCCCTAACACTCACCATCTCTTTATGAGCTGTTTTCCCTTTTTGCAGCTAGTATTTGGAAATGACATTTAAACCCTTTTTCTTTTTCCTTGGCCTGCAGGGTGAGCTGGATTATAAACTCCAGGACCAGGATAACGTGCTTTTCATCTCGACATTGCACGGCGGGTGAACTCCTGGAAAAACAAGAGGATGTAAATCCAAATCCCTGGGGGAGAAGAAAAAAAAAAAAGCCAAACCAAAAACTTAAACCCACCCAAAACCTCTCTTGGACTGCCTGCGCCCGGTCTCTGCATCTTCCCGCCGCGCTCACTTGTTACTAGACAGCCAAATAAAACCCCGCCGGCACGCGGCCTGCTGTCCACCACAACAGCATCCATCTTTTGCTCCTCATTTCGCCTCTCCCGACTGCGCCTCCGGGTACCCCAACCTGCAGCCGCTGCGATCTTGGTTCTCCGCGACGGACGGAAGAGGGGAGCTGACGTCTCTTTGCAGGCAGGAGGGCATTCTGGGGGGCAACTGGGGCCGGCTTTGGGGCCAGGCTGGGGCGCCTCCGCTCGGGGCTGGGATTCTTTGAACACACTACTCGGTGTTGGCACGGGCCGTGCAACCGCTGCGGGGACCGTCGGGGAAGGGCGAGACGTACGAGGAAACAAAAGGTCTGCGGTGACAGACAGTGCAGCTTCGGAGCCCTCTGCAGCGGCTTTCCGCTCGTTGGGATGTTTATTTGTGGGAAGTAGGAGAGAACTAGGCTTTTTTTGGTTGGTTTTTCTGCCGCCTTCATACCTGAGCTGAGGCAGGGAGCACCGTCCGTTTGTAACCATTGGAGTGGAGGGGAAACAAACCCGTGCCCGAGCCGAGAGAGCACGGAGCGATAAGGGCAGGGAATTCTCTTGCTGCCGCCGCGGTGGACGGAATCAATCGGCCTCCTTTGCGCTCCGGGCAGGCCCGGAGCTGCGCTGCTGCAGCCTGGCCGGGGATGGGCTGGGGCTGGAGACCCGGGAAGGGAAGGTTGGTGGGTTTTAACCCTTTCCATCGGCGGGGAGACTTCTTGCTGCGCACCCTGAGGAAGTCCTGTGAGCGCAGCGGAAGTGGGTGTGCGCGGCTCTGCTAGGACACGGATGCTCTTCAGTTTCCAGAATTTTCCTGGGACAAACGGACTGGCTGGGACTGCCGCCCCGGGGCCTCAGCTGGCA